AGCCACAGCAGTGGTGCCCGCATCGTCGGTGCTGGAGGACTCAAGGCTTCAATGGAAGAACTGAGGAAATATCGCACTTATCCAGTCCGGGGAGTGGAGTGGCGAGCAAGCGAAGACACCTGAGCGGATCCAGAACTGGCCGAAACGAGTACGTGAGAGGATACCGGCTCAATTCGCAGATTATAGAATCTGGCGAAGGTGTTGGGTGTCGCCCAGCCTGCAGCTCTGCAGATGTCTGTTAGCGAGGCGCCGTGCGCTAAAGCCCAAGAGGAGGCCACACTCCGAGTGGAATGGGCCGTCACACCAAGGGGGCACGGAAGGCCTTGCTGCTGGTAAGACAAAGCAATGGCATCCACTATCCAGTGGGACAGCCGTTGCTTTGAGAGAGCCCTTCCCTTCTGGCTCCCCCCATGACAGACAAAGAGCTGGTCTGAGGTCCTGAAACACTGCGTTCTGTCGACATAGGTGCGGAGAGCACGTACCGGACAGAGCAGTGCCAAGGCTGGGTCTGCCTCCTCCAGGGGCAGCGCTTGCAGGTTCACCACCAGGTCCCGGAGGGGAGTGGTAGGAACCTTGGGCATATATCCAGGCCGGGGTCTCAGGAATACGTGAGAGTAAGCCGGCCCGAACTCCAGGCACACTTCGTCAACAGAGAGTGCGAGCAGGTCCCTTACTCTCCTGATGGAGACCAATGCAATCAGGAGTGCTGTCACATAGGACAGGGCAAAAACTCTACCGACTGCAAAGGCTCCAGGGGAGGCCTCTGCAGAGCACCCAGGTCTACTGAGAGGTCCCCAGAGGGCAGGAGGGGAGGGAGGCGGATTTAGCCCCCTCGCTCCCCTCAGGAACCTGATGACCAGGTCATGCTTCCCATAGACTTACCTTTCACTGCATCATGAGACGCGGCAATGGCCGCGACATAAATCCAAAGGGTGGAGGGCGACAGCCTACGCTCCAACCCCTCTTGCAGGAAGGAAGCACGACTCCGATCGAACATCTCCGGGGGTCTTCTCAGCGAGAAGAACACCAATTGACGAAGAGGTTCCACTTCAACGCATAAAGGTGTCTCGTGGACGACGCTCTTGCGGAAGTGATGGTTGCCGCCACCGCAGGTGGCAGCGAACTCAAACCTGCCTCGTCCCGTCCTGGAGCCACACGTGCAGCCTCCAAGATCGGGACAAGGGTGCCACAGAGTGCCCCGTCTCTGAGAGAGTAGGTCCGGTCTCAGAGGAATAGGCCAAGGAGGTGCTGTCGCGAGGAGCATGAGTTCGGAGAACCACGTCTTGGTGGGCCAGTAGGGGGCTACCAGCAAGACCTGCTCCTCGTCCTCCTTGATCTTGCACAACACCCGTGCAAGGAGGCTCACTGGGGGAACGCACACTTGCGTGGGCCCCGTGGCCAGCTGTGCGCCAGCGCATCCGAGCCGAGAGAGCCGCGGGTCAGAGAAAAAACTGGGCGCAGTGGGACGAGTCCCGAGAGGCGAACAGGTCTATCTGTGCCTCCCCGAACTGGTCCCAAATCAGCTGGACCGACTGGGGATGGAGTCGCCATTCGCCGGAGATGGGACGGGCCCGGGACAGCTCGACGGCTGCCCGGTTCCGGTCTCCAGGAATGTAACTGCACGAAGGGACCTCAGGTGCTTCTGACTCCATATCAAGAGGTGGCGGGCGAGCTGCGACAACCGGCGCGAGCGTAGACCCCCCCTGGTGGTAGATGTACGCTACTGCCGTAGTGTTGTCTGAGCGGACAAGCACATGCTGGCCCTTGAGCACGCTCGGAAGCGGTGCCGGGCGAGCCGTACTGCCAACAGCTCGAGGCAATTGATGTGCATGAGGCGCTGGGCTCCTGTCCAGGAACCGGCGGCTGCATGCCCATTGCACATGGCACCCCAACCCGTGGTAGACGCATCCGTGGAGACAACGAGATGCCTGGAAACTCGCTGAATAGGGACCCTGTCCGTAAAAAGCTGAGGTTCGACCACGGGAAGAAGGTTCGGCGGCACGTCGGAGTCACTGGAACTCGGAGCGAGCCGCGATGCCATGCCCACCTCGGGACTCGATCGCGAAGCCACAGCTGAAGCGGTCTCATATGAAGCAAACCGAGCGGCGTACCGCGGATGCCATATGCCCCAGGAGCCTCTGAAATAGTTTCAGTGGAACCGCACTCTTGCCCTCGAACTGTCGAAGACAAGCCAGCAGTGAGTGCGCGCGCTCGTCGTCGCGGACATGGCGACCGAGTCTATCTCCATGCCGAGAAAAGAGATCCTCTGCACGGGGCAAAGTTTGCTCTTTTCCCGGTTGACCCGAAGGCCCAGACGGGCTTGGTGCCGTAGCACCAGGTCTCTGTGTTCGCAACCCGAGCTCGAGAGTGTGCTAGTATCAGCCAGTCGTCGAGATAGTTCAGGGTGCGAACCCCGTGTTCGCGAAGGGGAACAAGGGCTGCCTCGACGATCTTCGTGAAGACGCGAGGGGACAGAGCTAACCCGACTGGGAGAACGGCGTACTGGTATGCCTGGCCCTCGAAGGCAAACCGAAGAAACGGTCTGTGTCGAGGGAGAATGGAGACATGGAAGTACGCGTCCTTCAGGTCGATCGCTGCAAACCAATCCTGATACCGAACACATTCGAAAATGCGTTTGGCCGTGAGCATTTTGAACGGTAGTCGATGGAGAGAACGGTTCAAAATGCGCAGGTCCAGGATCGGTCGTAACCCACCGGTCTTTTTTGGGGACAATGAAGTAGGGGCTGTAAGCCCGGACCTCACCTCGGCTGGAGGGACCGTCTCGATTGCACCCTTCGCCAGCAGGGTCGCAATCTCCGCTCTCAAGACTGGGGCATTGCCACCAACCATCGCGGAGCGAACTCCCCTGAAGCGGGGAAGAGACCGTGCGAACTGAATCGCGTAGCCGAATCTGATCGTTCTGATGACCCAGTGGGATACCCGGGAAGCGCTAGCTAGGCTTCCAGGAAGTGAGCCAACGGGGTCATGCGAACCACAGACGTCCCCCCGGAGGGGCAGCGAGGCGGGTCGACCGGCATGCGTGCAGGAGTTACCCCGTCCGGATGCACCGTCGAAACCCGCTCCCCGACAGAAGAGACCAGGGAAGGCAGAGCGTTCCACGGGGGTCTGTTCTGCCGGGGGTCTGGCGACAGAGGGGGAAGGGATTGGCGTAGCCCGGGGACGACACACGCACCCTTCCGCGCCCTCCGAGACAGAGAGGAATGAACGGGGCGACGCAATGGACGTCGTGCGCGCTCATGCCAGTCTGTGTGCTCCATGACAGTGTCAGCTTTTCCTCAACCAGCTCAGGGAGCTAGCTAGAACAAAAGATTCTCCACCGGCCCTCCACCGGGGAAGGAGGGGCCCTGCCACCGCCTCCTGAGAAAAACCATGACACTATCACTGAGCGGCCCGCCTCAGGAACATCGCTTCGCCTGGCGTTTAGCGGGGCACACGGCCTGAGGGGGGGGGGGGACGCTTACCTGTGGCCTCCTCCGCGACGCGAACCGGCTGAAGGCTGCTGCTGGGGCCGCGTGGGAGGGAAGGGAGCCGCAGGGGGGCGTCCTTGGCGGCGAGCTGGCGGAGGCGTCCGAGCCGACGGCTGGTTGGAGGCAGCAGCTGGCCGTCGGGGCAGAGAAACCGCCTTCGTCTGCTCCTAGGCGGTCGAGAAGTGCTGGGCAAAGTCCTGGACCGCACCGCCGAACATATGATGCTCCTGGACCACAGCGGTGGGCATCACCTGACCAAGGGAGCGAGCGACCGCCTCCGTGACCCGTTTAAGGACAAGGTAGGCGGCAGGCTCGCAGCTCGCTTGGTCCGTCACCTCCTCGTGCACATTCCTGAGCAGCTAGCTTTGTAGGTGCTCATCATATGCAGGGCGGAGGCTGCCTGTCCCGCCGCTCTACAGAATCGCGCCGCCATAGACGACGAGAACCCATAGGCTTTGGAGGGGCATCTGAGAGCAACCGCCGGTTGACCGGGGGAGCCCCAGCGTACCCACAGACAGCCGCATCGCCGAGGGGAGGAAGGGCGGGGAACTAAAGCACGCCTTTTTTTTTTTTTTTTTAATTATTTATTTATTTATTTTTTTTTGGTGCGTGTCAGTTCCGCATGCAACTCGGGGAAAAAAGGAAATTGGGGTTGGCCGTGGCCGTAAGGCGGCAGCGTTACCCAAAGACCAATTATTCAGCCGCGAGAGATCGGGATGGGGCGGAGTTCCACCCCCACCCGATGCTCACGGACGCCCGAGATAGCACGGCCCTCATCGCGGGATCAGACACGGCGGCGCTGACGCTCCCGAGGGAGGCAACGCGGCCGCATCCTCACTTCCCGAGGAGTCAAGCCCGCCTAGTGATGCTGTGATCGACATCGCATCATCATCTGGAGCGCTGCCCGAAGCAGCCGGTGCCACCGAAGAAGCAACCGACTGAATCGAACTAACGCTCGCTGGCTCTCGCACTGAGGCGGGAGGTGTGGCCCGAGGAATCGTCGGGGCTTTGTCCCACACCATCACCGTAAAATCACCAGGTCCCCGGGTCGACGGGCCTCCTATGGAGGAAACCGATCGAGCGGGGGGGACCGGGACTCTCACTCAAGTGAGATCATTGAGTCTCGACCTCAGTGTAGAGATGGTCATGTTCCCACAGAAGGAACATGAGTCATCCACGAACGCTGCTGCTGCATGCTGAAATGCCCAGGCATACAAAGCAGCGATCGTGACCATCAGATGACGACAGAAATCAACCACACCCAGAAGAACACGGGCGAACCGTCTTTAAAAAGACGTGCGCGTGCAGCTCTTTCAATGAGAGGAGGAAATTCACTCTTTCAGCGCTGAAGCGACCAGGGAGAAGCGCAAAGTCTGGCAGACCACTGCTCAGATCGCAGGCGATGCAGAATCTCGCTGGGTACCGCCGTCACACCAACACTGAAGAGGACGCTCGTCTCGAAGAGTCTTGAACAGTGCTTTCAGGAGTGAAGAGGTTCTCTTGGCTCCGAAGCGAAAACATACTGCGGTTGCGTTCACTTCCTCCTTTTATACTCACGGAGTAGGGCGGAGTACGCTATGCAAATTTCCGCAGCCCCAAGGCATTGCATGCCATTGGCTCGTGTTTAAATACTCGAAGAGGATTGGCTTTCTATGCGAAACCCCCCCAATCTCCGTCACTTCTGACGTAACTCGAAGTGACTACGAAAGGGAACATCTTAAAGATGTTTGTTTAACTTTTTGATTCAGTTTTAAATGTTCTGTTGGTTGTATTTTATCCCAGCATTTATGTTAAAAAACTGAAACAGGAAGTGCTTCTGGGCCAGTGTTGTTTACATCTTGTGAAATGGTCTATAGTTCACTTAGGGGGATGAACTTCCCACTCTTCTTCTTAGAAATGTTATTTCTGTTTTCTTGATTTCTTGAATCAGCAGAGAATTTCCTCAAATGTGTAAATCTTTGTCCAGTATTAAGGACCTTTTGTTGAAAGGAATAATTCCATGAATGTTAAATGTTCTCAATGGAAACATCAGTGCCAATAAATAACATTTATGGCATTATTAATAGCATCATTTTACATCATTTAACAAATAAAAAACCTCATACACCATTACTATAGTGCTAAATCTTTCAAAAATAATTGAATGCATAATGAAAACATCCCACCCTTACCTCTGTGTTGAGAACATTTTTCATCTGAAGGAATGGTTGAAAGTGTGAAATTTTCATAGATTGAATTCATTTCATGAGCCTGACAGAAGACGTGTCCGCTGAGACTTGAGTGCTGCTCCAGTTTGTTCAGAATAAGGAAGTCATAAAATGGTTTTCACATTCATAAAGACAGGAAATAATGAAGTTATGACTCAAATATGAGATACCACTAATATTTCATTTCATGGGGGGTGGGGTGGGGTTACGTCTTATTTTAGATCTGCGTCATTGAAATCGCTCTGTGGCCAATCTCAACTTCAAGATGCTTACTCTGAAGCAGATCGTGTCACAGATCAGGTCCAAGGACTGGTTTGTCACGATAGATCTAAAGGACGCGTACTTCCATATTTCCATCCTTCCACAACACAGGAAGTTCCGAACGGAAGAACCCGATATTAGTACGCTCAAATCATTGAGAACAATCTAGTGCATTACTTTAACTTTAGAGGAAATATCAATGGAGATTTAACAGTGAGATCAGATGCAAGACAACATAAAAACAGCTTTCTAGAAATAGCTGAAGTCACACTTTTTCTAGAGAAAACTAAACCACAACCATTATCAAACGAACTTCCTATAATTCTTTACTTCTCTGCATTGAACCCTCTATTGCATGAAATATTAATTAGACATGGTAAAAAATTAAAGATAACAGACATATATATTAAAAAAAATAAAAATAAAATAAAGAAGTTTAAAGGGACAATATTGCAGTATGGCAATCGTGGAAAGTACCATAAAATCCTCAGTTTTCAAAAAACTAATTTTATTTAAAACAAAACTCAACAAATCCATCTCATACTTAGTGTAATGTTTAAACAAACATTTAAACAGTACATTTCGGTGTAAAAATGTATAATTTCAACAATTATCTGAAATGTGAGGTAATAATAACAACCAGGATCCTGGAACCTGTTTCACTGAAATACACTATTCATTCGTTTCATTTCATTTAGTCGGTCATTTTTTGCTGTTTTATTTTATTTCATTCTCTTCATGCCTTGTGAAAGTCAACAAAGCAGTTCCTCTCTGCAGTAAAGCAGAGGAAAACTGCACACTTGGAGCACTTGCTTCTCACAATGCCCTTGCATCCTTACATTTTGCATCTGCCCTTCTCAGATGCATGCGAGGGCCAGTGGTCTGTGCGGACTCTGCGGACAGGATCTGGGGGACAAAGCTTTGGGGCCCTCTTTTATTTTCCCCTCCACAACAGCTTGTAAAGTTCTCCCCTTCCTCTTGTTTCTCACCTTGCTCTCCATGCACAAGCATGAGGCCACTTGGATTTTGAAGTCCAACAGTGGGAGATGGGCAATCTCTGGCATCTGGGACTGGCGGTCTCTTCTGTAAAGCAGCCCAATAAGACATCATGACTTTTGTGTAAACATACACGCCACTTTCGAGTCAAGTGACGTGTTACCTCTACGCATTTTAAGCTATCCGCGTGTATGCGTGTATGTCTACGCCATTAACGTCTGTACACGCCGTCAAATCTCCAGTCATAAATGCCATTAACCCCAGTGACGGTTAGGTTTAGGGACGGGGTTGAGGTAAGTCATATATTTATATAACGTTAAGTCAACGGCGTTCATAAACACGCTGAAAGGCGATTATGCGTCTTGATAGCACGGCAAAAATGGAAATACGAATTGGCGTGTCATACACACGCTACTTCATGAGATCAGTCTGAGCAGCCATGCATTTACCAGGGTCATGTCAAGCATGTGGAATACAATGCGGTGGGACCATTTCTTCATTTTAATAATAATGTTTTTACCTTTTCATATCTTTTCAGGAAATTTGAAAAAGTCTATTCTTAAACATTTTACGCATGCAGTTTACAATTCCATTTTTCTTTTTTAGATTGATTTCTATTGTTATGATCTCCATCTAATCACAGTTGTCAAATTTTTCACAATTTTATAATTGAATCTTCTATCTCCATTCCACCTCTTTTTTCATTCTCTCTACTAATGTAATCCAGCTCATATCCATTCAACTCACTATCCACTCCTTCTCAGTAGTAAGCCAGGTCTCAGATATGGCTTTCACCTGGAATGGGTTGTTTAGAATAAGACGACTTAGGCATTCTTTGATGTTTGAAACATTTGCATATAAGCTTATGCAATTAAAATGAAAAATTGACATTCCATATTAAGTTTTTATTTTCATATTAAATTGATCTGCAGAATAAAAACAACTGTTGTAGTTTATATTGTTAAGATATTGTTATTAATTATTTTCAGGGTCAAAATCATGTAAATTATGATCAGTGAATTTAAGTGTTTTACAGTTCAAAACTGTCACACTCATCATTGACACTCTCATTTCCAGCTTGCCAAATTTAAACAACAAACAGACAAGCTCTTCAACAGTGAGGGATGGATACACTTTTATGAGGGATAGATGCACTTTTATCATTGATTGATGCACATTTATGATTGATTGATGCACATTTATGATTGATTGATGCACATTTATGTGGGATAGATGCACTTTTATGAGGGATAGATGCACTTTTATGATTGATTGATTGCACATTTATGAGTATAGATGCACTTTTATGATTGATTGATTGCACATTTATGAGTATAGATGCACTTTTATGAGGGATAGATGCACTTTTATGATTGATTGATTGCACATTTATGAGGATAGATGCACTATTATGAGGGATATGCACTTTTATGAGGGATAGGGGATAGATGCACATTTATGAGGGATAGATGCACTTTTATGATTGATTGATGCACATTTATGAAGGATAGATGCACTTTTATGAGTACAGAAACACCCATTCATTGCCATTTTAATGCATGCAGACCAAGACATTTTTTTTTCTTTTTATATATCTCAGATTGTATTCGTCTGAAAAAAGAATGTCATATAACATAACGTTACAAAGTTTCTCATTACATATAACTCAGATGCCAAACTCAAGACGAAAACACTTCACACAACTTGGGGATAACACTCTCATGTGACATCTCAGTGCAGGAAACAGTGGTTGGCCATGATGTGTTCAGCTTCTTCCTCTTGAAGTTCAATCACTTGTGGTTTTGCTTTGGCACATCACATTTTATAACAAAATATGATATGCATTTTGTAGCATTATTGCTTTCGACAACCATATAAGGTGAAGAAGTCTTGTACTATCCCTTAATCACCAGTAAAACTGCCACACAGAATCTTCCTCTGAGCAAGGTTACAGTTTGTTCATTTCTCAGCCAATTTCTACATATATGACATTCACGACTTACAAATAACTAAGTCAGATAGAATAAATGCATATTTGGCGTGCTGTCCGAGGAGAGGGCTCCGGGCTCGGTATGTGGCCCGAACCCAGAGTACTTCCCCCCCCCTCCTGACTGTGGTAAGAATGAGCCAGGAGTGAGGAGTCGGGGTGGTGGAGGGATGCTGAACTGTCAAGGAATGTTAGGTGAGTTGACAGTGGCTATTTATATATGCTTCTTCTCGTGCTGATAGGGTAGACGTGTAATTGTTTGGTGACGAGTTGATTGGAATGATTTATTTGAACGTGCTCCTCTCGAACCTTGTTTATAAAATATCATTTATTTTATGCCTAATCCTGATTTCAAGGTTATAGAATTATGGCCAGGGACAGAAAAAAAATGCAAACAATACACAGATGATTTGTGCTACATGGGTGTTTTACAGTATCCAAACAGTGACAAAGAACAGTAAATTTCTTTAACATTGACTTGCAGATTTTAAGTTAAATGATACATTTTGAGTACTCAGATTTTTTCCCCCAAAACTGTACATGATAGACATTTTTTTCAAATTAGGCAATGTTAAAGGGATAATTCAACCAAAAATGAAAAATAGCCCATGATTTACTCACCCTGAAGTCATCCTCCTAGGTGTATATGACATTCTTCCTTCAGACGAATACAATCAGAGTTATATTAAAAATGTCCTGGCTCTTCCGAGATTCATAATGGGGGTGAATGGTTGTTTGACTTTGAAAGTCCATAAAGTGCATCTATTCATTATTAAAGTGCCCCACATGTTTCCAGGACTTGATAATCTACGATGGCTTCATGGTGAGTAAATAATGGGCTAATTTTGAGCGCTTGTGAGCGGGCACGTGATTTACACACATAAAAATACGTACAACTTTTTTTTCTTTTTCATTTTCTTTGCTTTATTGGCGGTAGTCCAGTGTTCCCCTTTGTGTTTGGCGGGTTTCGCCGGGTTCTGCAGGAAGTTAGAGAAAATAGAGGAGTCAAAGGTTATATGACGCCATAGACGGGCGACGAAACGGAAATAAAGAAACGTCCAGTGTCTTCGAATTAAACTATACATTTCTCCGTATTTTAAAGTTGGCTGAAAAACTGTCGGGATAATGTAAGTACACATCTAATAGAAATATATAACATAGATACAGTTATTTTTGCTATTTTCAAAGCAGAAAAAATACATTGTGGCTTTAAGTTCCTCTAGTTTTCTCTTAACTTGGGAAGAAAATGGGAAGAATAAAGTTACTCACATGGACAGTTCAGAGAACAACACTACCGTTAATGAAACTTGTTTGTGCTGTAATGTCTATGAAATATTAACACTTTCTCACTTGTGCTGTTCGTCTCTTGAGCTGATTTTAAATCGGCAAGCTTATTTTCCCCCTTGATCCTCGCTCGGTTTTTGAGTCTTGGCTATGCATCTCCTAACATCTCCCACAGTGTCCTTGCAAGCTATCCCTGTCACGTATACCACACACAGGAACAGAAATCCAATAGCAGTAGTTTTATTAATAAGGGCAATCCAAAATCGTAGTCTTCCAGTCAGGGTTTTAAAATCGAAATGATCTAACCAAACATGAAATGCAAAACTCGAAACAGACCTCAGTGGTGGTGACCTATAACAACGACTGACGCAGACAGGGAATATATACACACAGATCTAACAATGTGATGGAAAAGAGTGCAATGAACTGATGAGTGACAGACAGAATGCAGATGAAGTCAAATGTGAAAGACACCGTAAGAACGAGGACCTCTAGTGACAACCCAGGGAAACACAACCAGACACTGTGACAATCAAGGTGTTTGTAGTTATTTGATTTAGTTTTTACCACCCCCTTGTGGAATTATTTTATTTTACAGTCATTTTCACTTCTGTTAGTAATACCT